TCCCACCACCACCTCCAGGTCAGCTCACAGGGCTAGAGAGTGACAGGGCTGAGGATGTGGACATTAAGATGTCAGTTTTCGCCCAATCAGAATTGCTGCCCACAAGGACCCCCCTCAGCTGCTGGGGCCTGGACTAGGGCCACTGTGTCCAGGGTCTGCCTCAAGGGGGCTCCCTCTCTTTCTCTGAGGGTTGGAATTGTGAGCCTCTTGACTGGGTGGGACCTTCCTTCTCTGAGGTGTTGGTAGTGTGGACTGGCTAAAACAAAATGGTGAGACAAACTCATTTTTCAATTTCTATTGCTTGGTGTTTTTTTGTTTTTTTTTTTAAGTGAGTCTATAATGCGTCAAGCAGAAATGTTTAAAACTCTCCAACGAGTGAGAGAAACTAGGACTAGAATCCCCACTAGATATGTCTGCTCTCATCCCAGGGCCAAGAAAAGCTGGGCTCAGAGTGGGGAGTGGGGCCGGCAGGACGAGGATCCAGCAGAGGCTGACGAGGAGGGGTAGTGAGCCCTCAGCTCCAAGCGGCTTCACCTGCCTGAGGCATGGCGTTCCCTGGTTCCTTTCTCCCTCCGCAAATGCACCTACGGACGGGGGTGCCTCTGGGGGAGGATGTGGAAGGCAGGAGACCGCCTGGAGGCACAGGTGTGGGGGCTGAGTCCAGCAAAGTAGGTGGGGTGACCTCCCATCCTACTGGCAACTCTCCCACTGCTGGCTGGGCCTCAGCAGACTGACCCTCTCCTCTGACCACACGCCTGAGTGGGCTGGCCAGGTGGTGGGGATGGACTGTTGAGATGCCTTCTGAGAGGGGTTCAGGGAGAGCTGATGGGCAGGCCTCCCCTCCCTGGCCTGATGGGAAGATTGCCCCAAACTCAGGTGGTCACATTGTCTGGCTACAGAGTTGAAAACCACGCTGATGTTGTTGATCCTGGTGGGACAAATCAGCCTGAGCGCCTTGATCACCATGTTCTTCGCCTACGGTGCCGAGCTCCTGCCTACCATCCTCAGGTACGAGCCTGGTGGGAGCAGGCCATGGGGGTGCGAAGGCGGGACAGTGACAAGAGGAACAGCAGCGGCTAAGCTTGGGCATTCACCCGGTGACAGGCAGTGTGCTGAACAGCGTACATGGATTATTCCATCACGCCCTCACAAAAACCGCTCCCAAACACCGTCCTTAGCCTACGTAAGACAACAGAATCCAAGAGGGAAAGGCACCTGCTCAAGGTCAGACCGAGCGAGCGGCAGAGCTAGCACTGGCCCCAGGCAGTCTGTCCCCGTGTCTGCCTCGCACGGACCGGCTGGGCCGTGGCTGAGTCTCAGGCCCTTCACTGCGGGAGAGCTCGCTGATGGCCCAGTGTCGTCCTACCCACGCTCTCTCCGCACACCCCCTCAGGGTGGCGTGGGTCTTACTTCTCCCACTCCTGACCCCACGAGGTAGGCCCAGAGGAATGACTACCTGCTTTGATCAGCAGAGAACGACACTCTCCCAGGTCACGCTGGGTGTGGGGACAGGGTGGAGCCTGGAGGGTGTGGATTGGGGGGAGCTGATTCTTCCAGCCTTTGGGCCTCCGAGGCCCCTTAGACAAGCTCTGATCTTTCCTTCCAGGACGACGGGTCTGGGGCTGGTGACTCTGGCCTGGGCATCTGGATCCTTTGTGTCCCTGGCCTTCATCACCTGGAGTCCCCCCAGCATCACCAATTATATTGGCTGCATCTCGGCCATTCTGTCCTTGTCCCTCTTCTATATGCTTCCAGAGACGCAGAATCTGCCCCATTCCGACACTCTGGACCACTTTCCCTTGCACAGAAGAAGGTAGGTGTGTGAGGGCTTTGGTCAGCACAGGGCCTGGTTCTCAAGCTCTGAAAGTACGTCAAGTGCTGTCCATTCCTGCCCCTTTGCCCAAAGGGCCTGTGACGTAAGAGCCACCATGTCCATAGCTTCTTCCCGCTCTCCTGATGCTGCCACCCAACTCTACCCATCCCAGCGCCTGTTCTCCCGTCCAGCCTGGGCCCGGTCCTTTCCTCTCTTTACCTCCTGGAAGCCTGCCTGGCCTTGAGCGCTACCTTATAGATGCCCTGGGCTCCCTGCCCTCCCAGGGCGAAGGGCACTGGCTGAGATCAGCTCTCTCGGCCTCAGCAGCTCAGGTCCCTGTTTAAGAACTAGGCTCTACCCCATCCCCTTCGTGGGCACCCTGGTCTCCTAAGTGCCCGCTGGAGAAGACTTGTGATTGGCAGAACCATCATTTCTGGGATTTGGGCCAACAGAGTGCATCACTCTCTGCGAGCAATAGTGAGGGGTCCTCCGCTCATACCACAGGGGCCACTACCTCTCTCGTTCTCCTGTCTTCCTCCCCACCATTCTCCTCAGACTCTCATTGGCACCACCAGGGTTGGGCTGTCAGTGGTAAGAGCAAGCGATAGTTTATGGCAGTGGTCGGCAAACTCATGAGTCAACAGAGCCAAGTACCAACAGTACAACGATTGAAATTTCTTTTGAGAGCCAAATGTTTTAAACTTAAACTATATAGGTAGGTACATTGTTATTAACTTAATTAGGGTACTCCTAAGGCTTAGGAAGAGCCACACTCAAGGGGCCAAAGAGCCGCATGTGGCTCGCGAGCCGCAGTTTGCCGACCACGGGTTTATGGGGAGATAGACATGCAAAGAGTTATCACTAATGGTCTCTGACAGAGGGATGTCAGGACCTATAGGAGCCCCAAGAGAGAGGAACATTCATTTGGGGAGTTGAGGCAGGCTCACCAAGGAGGTGACATGTGAGTTGGGCTTTGAAGGATGAATAGGTGTTTGCCCCATTAGACAAGGGGAGTGCAGGGCAGCAGAGCGACAGCACAGTCGTTAAGAACCCAGGCTTTGGAGCCGGAGGGCCTGGATTGCTGTCTCTGCTACCACTTCCTAGATGTGCACAGGGAAGTTACCTAAGACCACTGAGATTCTTCCTGGACCTTGAGTTTCTTCATTTGCAAAATGCAGTGATAACATAGCAATAACAATAGCTAACAGGCATTGAACATGTATTACGTGTCAGGTCCTGTCCTATACATGCCTTTTCACACTTTGTCCTAACCACCACTACATGCACGGTAGGTCTGTCACTATCCCCCATTTTACAGATGAGGAAACTGAGGCACAGACAGGTTAAAAACATATGTAGCCCAGCCTTCCTCTCTCTCAGGGTTTTTGGGAGGCTGAGACCCACATAGAGCTTGGCACTGTGTCTAGCATGTGGCAAGTGCTCAGCAAATGGTGGTGGTGAAGATGGTGGGTAGGACCCCAAAGGCACAGGAGAGGGAAGGGTCCGGCTAGAGTCAGGAGATGGAAGTGGCCCGATGCTAGAGGCTAGAGGCCAGCGCAGGCTCACGACCCGCAGGTGTGGGAAAGCCCCATCTCTCAGGAAGGCAGAGCCGGTCATCCCACTGCTGTGGGGAGGGGGGGCCGCCCCCGAGCTGCTGCTTTTGTCAGCTCCAAAACGTACGACTCATGACTTGTTCTCCAATGGCTTGTTCAGGGGCTTGAGCAGAAATTTGAGCAAAGATGACTTGTTGGCTGAGGCTAAATTACATGGTGGAGTGAGTGAGGAAGTGGCAAAGAACACCCTTTTCAATGCCATGATGGAACCGGACCCAGCCTTGTTCAGCACACCTGTGAAAAGCAGAGAAGCGCGCACAAGCAGACAGGATGCCTGAGGGCCAGGCCCTCGGACGATCTCGATCTCGGATGGAGTTGAGTGGCTGAGTGTGGGGCCGTGAATTTCAGGCCACAAATTCTGGGCCAAGTTCAGCTCGGGGACAGGGTCAGCCCTGCTCCGAGGTTAGCCCTTGAGATCCAAAAACAGCTCCTCTGGGGGGAGCTAAGGCGTGATTGATTCTAATAAAGGTACCATGTTAGACTTGAGATGGCTCGGCCCAGTTGGTTTTGGAGAACCTGGAGACCCAGGCCCAGAGGATGGTGCTTTGGAAAGGCTCATCCAGAGTCCCTGTTCTCTTTAGTTACTCCTTAGGGACAGCAAGGAGCTCCCTGGATGGAGTGTGCGGTGGGCTGAGTCTGTGAGGGCCAGGAGTAGGCAAGGGCAAGACTGCACCTCCACATTGCCATGTCCTCTAGCCCAGGCATCTGCTAGTGTGGGTGCACTTGCCGCTCCAGTGCAGGCCGAGGACACATTTCAGTCCCACTGGGTGTACCTGTCAAGGTGGAGCTGGGAGGTGAAGGAATGAGAACTCCCATCTGTACTATTGCATTGGGCTTTTCCTCCTTCCCTTCATCCTTTCCTCCCTTCCTTCCTTTCCTTCCTTCCTTCCTTCCTTCCTTCCTTCCTTCCTTCCTTCCTTCCATCCTTCCTTCCTTCCTTTTTTGTAGAGCCAGATCCAAAGTCAGACAGTCTGACTCCAGAGTCTGCTCTTTTTTTTATATATAATATATTTTTACAAGAGGCCTGGTGCATGACATTCGTGCACTGGGGGGCGTGGGGGGGGGTCCCTCAGCCAGGCCTGCACCCTCTCGCAGTCTGGGACCCCCAAGGGGTCCTTAGTGCTGCCGCAGAGGCGGGAGAGGGTCCCACCCCCACCGCCGTGCTCGCCAGC